AACATCCACTCCCTCCACCACCGACGCTCAGTAGCAGCAGTGTGTACTATCTACAAGATGCACTGCAGAAATTCACCAAAGATCCTCAGACAGCACCTTCCAAACCCACAATCACTTCCATCTAGAAGGACAAGGGCAGCACATACATGGGAACATCACCCCCTGCAAGTCCCCTTCCAAACCACTCACCACCCTGACTTGTTCCTTCACTGTTGCTGGGTCAAAATCCCGGAATTCCCTCCCTAATAGCATGGTGAGTCAACCTACAGCAGGTGGACTGCAGTGATTCAAGAAGGCAGCTCATCACCACCTTCTCAAGGGCAACTAGGGATAGGCAAGAAATGCTGGGCCAGCCAGCAACACCCACACCCCACAAATGAATCGAAAAAAAAACACCTCTACTCTTCTTATAAAAGTGCATAGACTCTGTTCCCACATTGCATTCCATCTGCCACTTCTTTGTCCACTCTCCCAGCCTGTCCAAGTCTTTCTGCTTCCTCAATACTACAATCCATCCATCTATCTTTGTGTTATATGCAAACTTAGCAACAATGCCCTCAGTTCCTTCATCCACATCCTTCATGTATAACGTGAATAGTTGTGGTCCCAACACAGACCCCTATGGAACGCCACTAGTCCTGAAAAAGACTTCTTTATCCCTACTTGCTACCTTCTGCCAGCCAGCCAATCCTCTATCCATGCCAGTACTTTGCTCCTAACACCATGAGGTTTTATCTTATTTAGCGGCCTCCTATGCGGCACCTTGGCAAAGGCTTCTGGAAATCCAAAAAGATCATGTCCGCTGGCTCACCTTTGTCTCACTTGCTCATTACCTCCTCAAAGAATTCTAACAGATATGTAAGGCATGACCTCTCCTTGATGAAGCCATGCTGACTCAGCCCTATTTTACCATGCACTTCCAAGTACTCTGCAATCTCATTCTTACCAATGACCAAGGTCAGGCCATCCAGACTATGATTTCCTGTCTCAACAAGGTGCAGGGCTGGATGAACACAGCAGGCCAAGCAGCATCATAGGAGCAGAGAGGCTGACGTTTCGGGCCTAGACCCTTCATCAGAAAAGGGGGAGGGGAAGGGGGTTTTGAAATAAATAGGGAGAGA